ATGGGGGTGGGGAAGATGGCAGATGTGGAAGATGGAAGATCCCCATAGATGTGGGGAGAGGCAGACATGGGGACAGGGATGGGACAAACATGGGGACAACACGGTGGGGAAGCAGGGGACAGCCTTTAGGATAAAGCCATGGGGACAGGGGACACACAAGGGGACAGAAATGGGGACAAAGTCATGGATAGGGGTGGGGAAGATGTGAGGAGAGGTGGACATGGGGACAGGATGGGGACAGGGATGGGGACAAGTGGGGGGCAGGAATGGGGACAGGATGGGGACAGGGATGGGGACAGGGATGGGGACAAGTGGGGGGCAGGAATGGGGACAGGGATGGGGACAGGGATGGGGACAAGTGGGGGGCAGGAATGGGGACAGGATGGGGACAGGGATGGGACAAACATGGGGACACACGGTGGGGAAGCAGGGGACAGGCTTTAGGATAAAGCTATGGGGACAGGGGGCACACAAGGGGACAGGGATGGGGACGAAAGTCGAGGCTCAGACTGGGAGGGTGTGTCCGATAAGCCCCGCCCCCTCTCTCCCCATTGGCTGCCGGCGGCTGTCACTCAACCTCGCCCCCTTTAAAAGCGGAGTCGGAGCGGAGCGGCGCAGAGCGGCGGATGGCGATGAGTGCGGTGAGAGCTGGGGGGGATAATAGGGAAAAAAGGGGAAAAAAAGGCGAAAAAAGGGAAAATCCGGGGTTACTCGTTGTCTCTTCTCCCCGCAGCGCAGTCCCGATGCATCCCCGCGTCCTACGGAGGCAGCCGAAGGGCAGCAGGAAGGTGAGGGACCCCATATGGGGACCCCAAAAATATGGGGCGGGTGGGATTCGGGGGTGGGAATGGGGGGATGAAGCCGGGCTGCGCTCCTTTGGGTGTCCCCGGTGCCCTATAAGAGTTTGGGGGACGCTTTTGGGGGTCGGAAGTTCTCCCATTAGGTTTTTTGGGGGGCAGTTCTGGGTGTTCTGAGTGCCCCATAAGGGTTTGGGGGCGCAGCTTTGGGTTATGGGGTGCTCCCTGCCCTGGTTGGGGGCTTTGGGGTGCAGCCTTGGATGGCCCCAGTGCCCCCTATAGGGTTTTAGGGTGCGCCTTTGGGTTCTCCTTGCCCTGTATTGATGCTGGGGGAGCTTTAGGGGTGCACCTTTGGGTGTCCCACGATGGTTTTGGGGTGCACTCCACGTATCCCCATTGCAGATGGCGCTTTTAGGGTCCCCCATTGCCCACTGTAGGGTTTTGGGATGCAGCTTTCGGTGCTCCTTGCCTTGTATTGGTGCTGGGGGGGGGCTTTTGGGGTGCAACCTTAGGTTTCCCATGAGGGTTTTGGGGCACACCTTGGGTATCCCCATTACAGATGGGGCTTTTGGGGTCCCCCATTGCCCTCTGTAGGGTTTTGGGGTGCAACTTTAGGTTTCCCATGAGGGTTTTGGGGCACACTATGGGTATCCCCATTACAGATGGGGCTTTTGGGGTCCCCCATTGCCTCCTATGGG